TTCCTGGGACAATTTCCTCTGGTATTTCTCTGGTACCCTGAGACTTGTGTGGAATTTCAGGACACCTACCACACGACTGTACCACAGGTTCTGCTGTAAGTTACCACATATTCTGCATGTGGTGCAGTCCTGTGGTAAAAGTCCCCAAATACCTCACAAGTTCCTGAATACCAGAGACAAATACCACATGAACACAGAAAATACGACAGGTCTAATGGGCACATGTGCTACCAGCATGTTATCTTTGTCTCACAGGGATTTAAGAAGGGAAGAACTGAAAGAATAATTGTGATTATTGTGTTATTGCCATGTGAATATATCAATGAATTCAATGAGAAAATGCCCAATCAAATATATTATCAGATGTGTCTGTTTCCATGCTCTTGTTTTTGTGTTCTTCTGCCTTCTACTGGACAAATTTGGTTACTGCATCTTTTACTCAAGTTTTGATCCAAAGCTAACCCTAGAGTCAGATAATAATATTCATTTATTTACCCTACATGTTATTTCACTTGGCTTTTTGCTTCTTCTTTTTTTTTTGCTACACACAGGTACAGACTTTGCCCTGTGTATTTGGTTAATGATGTTCCAGTCATTAGGTTGTTTCTCACTTTCTGTAGGTCTCATGTTCTGTTAAGTTCATAAAAACTTTCATTTCAAGTTCATTTTAAAAAAAGCACAAAGGGGAGGCTACAATGTCTCTATGAAGCCTGTGAAGGATGAACAAATAAACAGAAGTGAAGACAAAGAACTGAAACAGAGGGGCAAGATAGGATCTAAGATCTTAAGATAACACCTCTATGTGATGCTCAAACAGAGGCCTTTTTTTATGGTTTGGATAAACGTTCGATTATCTCACAAAGGGACAAAGTAAAGCATACGTTGCAGTGTTGTGTCTGTGATGCACACCTGGTTTCATTTAAGAGAAATCAAAAATGTTAAACTAGAAGAGATGTATTTGACAGATAAACGTAACCATGCAAATCTAAACGATGCTTAAAAATGACTTACTTCATAAAGTGGGTCTGAAAATGTTTTAAATCAGAAAAGAATTCCTGCAGGTTTCTTTTGCCTTCTCCTGTAATTTTTGATGGTTGGAGTTATTGAGCTTCATGAAAAGTATAATAATTTATTCTCTTTTTAAAAAACATACAGTTCTTAGTGTGTTATACGGGAGTGATAGTATCTATCAGTCAAAATAAACAAGTCCTGAAATCTCTAATGGTCCGCTCTGTTTAGAAGAATGCTGACAGGAGTCCCGACCGAAGCATTGAGAAACCTCCACACTGGAGGCTTTTTAACTTCACTCTGTTTGAATATTTATTACCCCACAGATGCTCCACATCAGTCGTCTGTCAGTTTTGAAGCAGCACAAACCAGAAGAGACATGTCACAGCGTCTGACTGATGCCATATGTTATGATTCTGCATTTAAATGCTCTCTCAGCACCACATGGATGTCTCTTTTTTTTTTTGTGGAAAGACAATCTGTGTCTCAACCCTGTTGCCTCAGACAATAAAGTATTTCAAAACACGCGGTCAATGCTTTTACACAAACACTCTTACTTAGACCGGTCCTTTGGCAGCCATGGTGAGATAGTTTGGCCTTATGAAAATGCTTTACTTCAGACACAAATTTACAGCCTTACATTACCATACTTTTTCCAATTGTGCCAATGCATCCTTAACAAATTAACAAAGGGTGCAGGATGCAAAGTGAACTCTTACAGGAGAGTCTTTGGATAATAAAGAGAACATGCTTTCACTCTTGAGTTATTCAGGTTTTACTGGAAAAACAAGGTTCACTGATCTTGAAATACTGAAACAAAGCTGGGTTTTGGTTTTTATAGAAGTATTTTTTATGGGCAAAATGTTATTGTTCTTATTTTATATTTTGTTTCTAAAAAAAACACAATACAAGTTGACGTATGTGCTTTAGGCTGACTCTCATGTTAATCATAACTGGAGGATGCAGATAACCCACTTTCAGATTTACCTTCTGATTTAACAGATCTGAAAATCTAAAGACTCAATAGTTTTCTCGCATAATGAAAAGTCCAAAATAACGACATGAAAATACAGCCATCATTGTTGAGTTCAGAGCTCAACTGTGGTTTGTGTGCGGGGCTGCATTCAGACAGAAGTTCAAAGAGACAGTTTCAAGGCCAGCGGGAAATGTCCATCACATTTCTGCAAACAGCTTGTGTAACACATTCAGCTGGAGCTGTCGTCAAACTGTTGCACCATGCCCAATATTTACCTCATTATTGTCTTTATTTCCCCCCCTGTGTAACACTATTTGCTGAGAGCTGCAACCAGATCGCTGCCAGGAGGTAATGAGGCAAATATTGGACATTTGGAGCCACTTTGCAGTCGTTTGGTGTCGTGCATTTGGTTAAGGCTGCATAAGATGTTAGGGAGATGCTGCTGAAAATAAATGGACCATACCAGTGTGTTTGCATGTTTAAGCTTCTTAACCACTAAGCATGGGCACTTAACATTTTGCTGACTGATTATGAATTTAAAACAACTTTCTTTTTTTTTTTTTTAAGCAAACTCTTGAAAACGTCTGTCATCTATTACTGTGAATGTAATCCTCACAGTCTGCATTACATTTGTAAGAACTAAATTCTCATGACACTGTACAAACAGCTAAATGATTGTAGGACTGGGTGAATAGTGAGGGGGGGTAGTTGTGTTAACAATCTCATGTACGCTTACTGCTTAGCCATCTTGTCTCCTTACACTGCTGGATTTAAACATCTGCTCTGAATATGCTCTGGTGCACAGTATGACATCACAATGTGACTGTGAAAAGAGTGTCATCATGATAGTTCAAACCAAAGAGGATCAGAAGCTAAAATTTGTCTTTTTTATTTGTTTGGGATCAAGCACTTAGTGTTATTCATGAATAATATATTTAGATCACATCAGCGGGAATGACTTAAGTGATGATGATGATGAGAAGCCACAGTGTTACAAGCTGTATGCAAAAACTAACATGCTGTCACAGCTGGTTAGACAGAGGTTTTAAGAACCTACTGTACTCTGCGCTATACTGCTCACCTCTGGTGCAGTCGCATTACAGCTCAAATGAAAAAGCTTTAGGTTTCATTTAATAAATTATATCAATTTAATAAATAAGTTGTTATTTTGAAATACAGAAAACGCACAAAATTAAGGTTTCTCGCCCACGACTATATGATAAACAAAAGAATCATGTGAATAAAATAAAAGTTGTATTTGCGTGAGAAAACTTTTAGATGGTGGAAATTGGTTGTATAGCTGTATAGGCTCTAGCTGCAAAATGTTGAGGTGATATTTAAAGAATTCTAAATCTTCACCTGGCTTGTTGTGATCAGGTATGTTCTCAACTCAGTGTTTGGTTCGACATGTGCAACACGGATGCTCAGTGGCAGAGTGTAGAAACAGAAGGAAATACCTTTATCTGACTGCTCGGTGTTGTTAAAACTTTGTTCGCCCGAACAGGGACTTGAACCCTGGACCCTCAGATTAAAAGTCTGATGCTCTACCGACTGAGCTATCCGGGCTCTGCACCAAATCTCGTCGAGTCTCTTGAAATAACGCGATAGTTTTTGTTAATCGAGAACAGATATCGGAAGACAAAAAAATCCCAAACACGCATTTCTCAGTTGTGTATTTGCTACCACACATCAGCCCACAGTTCCTCTCGCTCCTTAGATAGAACCATGTGGTGGGACACTGCATCAAGAGACTCCAGAAAGTGACGACAACACCCTTAAACAAGGAGGCTTTTACCATCTGATCACATTTAAAGACTTGCTCCTGCTCGTCCTGGTGTCCGGTACCGTGCAGACATAGTGTAGCTAAAACTTTGTTCGCCCGAACAGGGACTTGAACCCTGGACCCTCAGATTAAAAGTCTGATGCTCTACCGACTGAGCTATCCGGGCTCTGTCACAATCGTGACGTAGATGATTTTAAATAGTCACGTGGTATGCATTGTCAATTACGTTTTTCTTACTTTTAAAAGGTCACTGACAATATAATAATAATTTAAAAAAACAAGTAAAAAGTACCAAAACTTTAACTCACGAGAAAATATATTTAACGTTTTGGAATGAATGATGATTATTAATTTTTGATTATTAGTTATGATTAAATTAGTTTAAAAATCTGTGGAAACACACGTGTACATAGCCAAAGCGAAAATTAAAATAAAACACAAATTAGCCTATGTACAAATTACGACGGAGGATTAGGGCAACGTTATTATAATTATTTTTTTATTTTTTTAAATTTCGACATTAAAGTCGTAAATTAACGAGTTCGAGACCAGCCTGCGCGAAAATGATGAAAGTAGAACTCTTAAAGTATTTAAGAATAAAAGAATAAAGTCGTTATTTTAGTCTATATCAGGAGAGCAGCATCCTGTTCTCAAATGACAAACATGATGGAGCATCTTGTCCTAAAGGTTTCACTAATAAGGAAATAGGCTACTTCCTCGTGTAGTCGGTAAAAAAACAGTTCAAGAGAAATTTTCACTTCAACTTGTAAAACCTTGTTCATCTGTAAAACTATAAACAGCACACAAACTGTCTCTGCACATGAGACAACAGACACAAATAGTTGTGTTGGGGCTTTACTTATGCAGATATGAAACTACACATGCTTTTAGCACATCATCATCATCTTCATATTGTCATAAAATATCATCACCCTGAAAGGATACTGCAAGAAACTGAAGAAAGAACCACACTGACTTGAAGTTGTCTGCAGAGGAAAATACTTTAAAAGTCCTACTTTTCATAATTTTGCGCAGGCTAATTTACAAGTTTTATCTCGTAAATGTACGACTTTACTCTCGAAATTTAAAAAAAAATAATAACGTGGCCCTAGTCCTCCGTCGTAACAAATAAAGAAAACCAAAAAATGTAATATTATTCTCTGTCCTTCACGATTATCTACTGACACCCAGTGGAGGTATCTCGCAGTACAATTTTTGAATGCCCTGCCACGTCATACAATAATACGGAAGTAGTGGCTCAACACAGCACGACCCGTCGATATTTTTGTCTTATACATTGGCCCTTCATCATTATTTATATCCTGAATGTATTAACATGAGCACTGAAGACAAACCCACTAAAAAGGCCCTTTAATGCATCGTCTCAGTCCGCTGTAGTTGGATGTGTTATTGTTTGCAGCGTTCTTGTTTTGTCTCTGTGGTTTGTCAAAGGTGCTCTGTGGACAGGTACTCAGTCTCTGTGGACAGGTACTCAGTCTCTATGGACAGGTACTCAGTCCAAAAAGTCATCGGGGAAGGTTCGTTCGGTCGGGCTTTGTTAGTCCGCTGTGAAAGCAGTCAGGATAAATATGTGGTCAAAGAAATCCCGCTGCCAAAGGTATGTGCAAACAAAGACAGAGATGCTGCTTAGGCTCCTGTACTGCAGTTATTTCAGCAACACGTGTAACCTTCGCAGAAACAGACAGACTACAGGTTCCTCCAGAAAGTCTTTCCACCCTCAAAATCACATTTGTGATAAAATTGTGTTTAAAAAAAATGATTTTGCACAATTCTGAAAACCCACACTGCTGCTGCAAACTATAATCCGGACTGTTGTCTACAGCTGGGAGTTGGATATTTAAATGTTATTTGCATTGTGCTGATAACCTACCAGATTGTTGCCTCCACAGAGACATGTTTTACATAATATAGAATGCATTCATGCTTACATTTCCATTTTTATAGAATCGGTCCAAATTGGAAAATTCAAGGCGAGAAGCCGTGCTGCTGTCCAGAATGAAACATCCAAATATCGTGGCTTTCAGAGAAGCATTGGAAGGTATTCAAAAAATAACCCTCATTATAACCATCTTGTTATCGTTTGACATCTATTTATCATTGTGTGGATTTTAAAAGTGAATGTGATTGTATTTGTGTAGCCGATGACCTCCTGTGGATCGTTATGGAGTACTGCAGTGGTGGAGACCTGCTCCAGAAGATCCAGAGACAGAAAGCTACACAGTTCTGTGTTGATGATGTAGGTGTTCAAGTGCAAGAGGCTGTTCTAAAGTTGTATGGTCATTTTTAGTTCCACTAAATTCAATCCTGTTTATTTTATAGATCCTGAGGTGGTTTGCTCAGATGTGTTCTGCTGCACAGCACATCCATAACAAACGGGTTTTGCACAGAGATCTGAAGTCAAAGGTACTGTAGTTTCTAGACGTCATAACTTATTGTACGCGTTCACAACGGTTCTCTTTCCTTTTCGTGGAACCGATATTGTGAGTTCAGATTTTGTTTGTGTCCTCTGAATCAGAAGAAGAAGTGGATGATTTATTTTATTGGTTGGATGAATGTTGATAGAATCTCATCAGTGAGAGCGCCGCGGAGTGAAATGAACAGCGATGAAATTGCTGATCGAGATAAGATCAAAACATTATTATCCCGCTAATGCATAATATCATCATTCTGCCATGGTTGGCCGCTCTAATTTTTGCCTCATGTTAAGTCATCACTTCTCCTTCATTTCCGTCCCCAGAACATTTTCCTGACAGATAATGAGACAATCAAGCTCGGGGACTTTGGCTCGGCGTGTATTCTGAACAGGTACAGGAAGACGAAGGCAGCAATTTATACTCTGTCTATTTTAGGTAAATGCTCAGTGCTTGATTTGCTGCTGTTGCAACTGATCATTGACTGTATTCTGTAATTATTTTGCAGCTCAAAGGCCTACGCTCAAACATATGTTGGGACACCGTATTATGTGGCTCCAGAAATCTGGGACAACAAGCCATACAACAATAAGAGGTATGTTAGCACGTCTGTTTTTCCACTGTTTCTAACACACAAGGTCAAATGAAAATCAAAATGAAACATTCATATATTCACACAAACAGTGAATCACTATCCAGGCCTATATTGGTGAACTAAGGAAGACCTTTTCCATCAGTATTTTCATTTTCCTATACATACATACAATATTTTAATATCACCCTCCATGAGAGAAATAGAGGAAACAGAAATGGGAACAGGATCAGCATACAGCATATTACCATAAACTTACATGAATGTCATGACTGTATAAAACAAAACAGTGGTATTTATTATATTTCAGAATAAAATAGTACAAACAATATGCATTTGAACCACCCCATTTCACAAATGTATAAAACATACATACATGTATGTATGTATTTACATTATTAAGAGCTGCAGCAGTTTTCCAAACTTCAAAAATGGCATCGTATAAGTAAACTTTTGATATCTAAGACTTGACTGTAACTGGGAAGAAGGGACTACAGGCCGGCTTTTTAATGTTACCATGGAACAATCTCATGATCTTCCTAGAATTTCCATTTTCACTCATTGTGTCCTCCCAATGAGTTCCATTAACAAAGCTTGTGACCGCACTGCTTGTCATTTTACCGTCTTGGATGTTGTGTCAGTGTATGCATCAACAAAGTGGAGTTTTCAAAACAGTCTGTGCTCTCGGCTCGGGGGTGATTATGTAACTCATGTACGGGTTTAGCAGTGTCGTATCACTCGCGCTGTGCCGGTACATGACGCGTGTCTGCAGCGAATGAATAACCATGTCTATGTTTGTGTGTTTTGTAGTGATGTGTGGTCTCTGGGCTGCGTCCTCTACGAGCTCTGCACCCTGCGACACCCGGTATGCCCCGCCCTCTGTTCCCATGCAGCAAGGGTTTGACTGTGGCCCTCCTCTGCTCTTATTGCACTATCTCACTGTTTCCATCTTATTGCACAGTGAGATACTATGAAAGCATTGTTGTAGAACAACAGAGGCCCAGTATCCTCAGCTGAGTTAGATTTTCTGCTGTGTATTTTTTGTGGCTCAGATGTTGCGTTGTGGTTTGTTGTCCCAGCGATCCTCCTTCTTGTGTTCAGTTCCAGGCCTCCAGCTGGAAGAGTCTAATTCTGAAGGTGTGTCGGGGTGCATACCCTCCCCTCCCCAAGCACCTGCCCTATGAGCTGCAGTATTTGATCAAACAGATGTTCAAGACCAACCCAAAAGACCGGCCCTCCCTACACACCATCCTCACCTCCCATCGTGTTTCCAGACTGCTGCGCACACATCTGCCCTCTCAGGTAAAAACACACCTGTCTTTGAAAGTGCCGCTCACTGTGGTCGAGCTTCCAGCCTGGTGACAGTCACTCAAGCAGTTAAACCTGAAATGATTTTATGGCTGGCTATCCATCATTGAGACATTCTGTCACAACGTTGTGTTGAGGTGAGAATTTAAACTCTTACACAACTCCCCCAGCTGTGTCGACCCCGCGTGGAATCTGACCTTTGACAAGCTGCTTGTTGGTTCAGATGGCCGCTGAGTTTGTGTTGTGCGTTTGATTTACTGCACTGCTTTGAATCTTTTACAGGCGATAGAGACGGAGCGACAGGGGGGGCGTCCGGGTCGATGGGATAGGGAAGAGGGACAGAAGGTGGCTGATCTTCTGGGAAAGAAAAGTTTAATAAAAACTTCAACATTTGAAGGTAGAGTCTAAGAAGATAAGAATGTGCTGCGGCTATTTTGAAACACATAACTCACATTTTTGTGGAGATTGCAACTATACATATATGTGACAAAGAATCACTGCTATATAGGGAATGCATGTTTTTATTTCAGTCAGTCAAACTGCATTAGAAGAAATCATTTCAGATATTTTGATTTTGAAAGTCTAAGAAAGATAAAAAAAATAAAACCACAGAAAAGCAAAAATCAACAATGCATTCTTGTTAAAATTTGAACAAATCTTTACGATCTACTTGAAAATCTCATGCAAAGAGAGTTGCAAAACATTTTAAATTTAGTTTAAATTTTAGTTTTACATTTTTTTCTCTCCCTTCTCTTCCTGTTTTTCTTTCTATGCATGTCTACTGAATAGAAATGTAAACAAGAAAATTTACACACACACTAAAAAAACAACCCAAATGTAACATTTGCCCTCAGGCGTGGAGTCACCTGGAGCTCACTGTGAAAGCAGAGACCCGGGTCCTCGAAAGCAGTGGGCGGCTGAGCCTTCAGACACGGTGCTGAACATGTTGGCCAATGCCAGCCTCATCTCTTCTGACAGCCTGGCATCAGCCACTCAGTCCAGCACAGGTTCATCATTTTCACTTCCTAATTTTTTGCAAAAAAAAAAAAACCAACACACAGTTTCTGAAAGTGTCAGTTATATCGCTGTCTTTGCAGGCGCGTCGGAGGAGCCGGAGGAGAGCCGGCAGAGAGACGATGGCAGACAGATCCTCCTGAGAGACTCTTGAATCTGTTGGAGAAAGCTCAGCTGAACAGAGCCTTCAGCACCTTTTTGATAAACAAAGGAGGTCTGTTATTTTCTGACAAGATCTAATGTTAGTACACGTTACTTGTCAAGTGCAGTGTTGTAGTTTCATTTTCATTTTCAGGTGAGGACCTTCTGGTGGGGCCTCTCTCTCAGCCGCAGGGCGATGACACCGATGGTCTGGAGCCGGAGTTGGCAGTGGATGACCGACTGCTTCCTCGATCTGATGATGAGGACACGTAAGTAACCCGGTCGAAAGATTTTTAAACATATTACAATGGACTAGAACACTTTATCTTATATATCAGCAGGACAGAAAGGGACAAACGTGAAGGTTTCTTGTTTTATTTGGATTTTAAGGGAACCATTACTGATGAAGCATAGTGTCATCATTTTATGTAAGGATATTATAAAGACCATAAGGCTTATGTGTTGGTTTTGACAACAAGTGAATGAGAGGGATGACTTTAAATGAAATACCTGGAGCCTGCAAAAACACCCAACTCACCCTAAAAAGCACATGAACCACAGGTTTCTTGAACAGAGCGTTGTATGACTCTCTGTTGGATATCTTTTGAATGTCTGGAATGCACCTTGTTTGTATGGTTTGTTTCTGTGACTGTCTTGTAGGTATGAGAACAAACTGAAAGAGTTGTGTATTTTTTGTTTTCCTCACAGAGACTTTGAGGACGACTCTCCACGTGACTGGATTGATGAAGTCGAGAAAATGGTTTCAGAACACTAAAGACGCATTTCTTCTGAGCGTACACAACCACAGGGTCGCTACTATTTATGTAACTGTAATTAAATAAAGCTGATTTCACTTGACAAATACATTTCATTGATGAATGAGAGGCCAAGTATCTCTCTGATAAATGAGGACAACTTTTACTGTAGGTTTTATACAACTTTACAATTGGAGGACTCCAGCCTCCATTTATGGTGCACGCACACTAACCACTAGGCTACTGGTGCCCCCAGTTTGTTTTTTTTATATCAAAGGTTGTATGGTCTGCACTGATATTTATGAAGTTGTTGCTTTGCTTCAATAAAACACTAACATTTCAAATACGTTTGTCCAGCTTTTTTGTCATAACCCTCTTCTTTGTCAGAGATATTTGAGTTGTGGGTGTGTGCTTTCGTCTCCTGTTTGATTTGAACATCTGCTGTGTACTGGTCACATTACCAGCGATAACATTCCCAGTAGATTGAATCCGTCTGGAGGCTTCTGTTTGGCCTGTCGGGAAAGCAGGAAATATTAGACTCCGAGCAGCTGGGTCTCCGTGGGGTCACAACATTTTGAGCCTCTTTTGATGTCTTATTTCCTCTGCAATATCAAAAGTAGACTAAACACGTTCAGTCATTTGTGTTCTTTGCCTTTTATTCTCTTGATAAGACACTGACAGACCCTTTAGGGGCTGTGTTATTTTTAATTTGCTGTGACCACAGTGCTGCAGACATGGAGATGACAGAGCTGCTGTTTCCTGCAGTTGGTGCTGATTACGTACCACTAGGGGGAGTCGACATCATTTGTGGAGCTTTTTCCAGGGAGTGAGAAAAGCTATATTGTGGTGTAAACAAGATTTATTTTTTTAATTTTACACTATTGTTAACATCCTTTCCATTTTTAGAATAAGATGTGGTTAGATGAATCGGGTAGTTCTCCTCCTTGGATGTAAATTTAAGAGACTGAGTTCTTGATTTTGGCCTCCTGCAGTGCAAAAAGACATCTAATATATGGGTACACATAGAGCCTGTTACTGTCTTTGTTTTCCCACACTAAAAGCTGGTTGGTGAGGAATAGAAGCCTAACCAGACATTTGGTAACCACAAAAGAAAAAGCAAGCCACACCCATGACCGTTTGGGGTTTCAACAGGATGCAGATACTATAGACCCTCGAGTCAACAAAAACCATAGTGGTGCTGATTCACCAACAGTCACATCAGGGATGGATTATCCTGCTGCTAAAGTTCCTCCAGAAAATGAAGCGTCCGCTGACAGGAGGACCCTGCCATATGAGAGTCTTCTGCAAGATATCTGCACATAATGTGTTTTATTGAGGAAGCCCAGGGCCGCAGCTTAGCCCTTATCTAAGAGTCACACTGAATCCCCCTCCAGGGCTCACACTCCAGCCCCCTGCTGTTTTTCTTTTATTCTTATTATGCTTCCCATGTTTAGCAAAGACACAGAGTGGTGGAGCGTAGCTGAGCAACACCACCACTACACTGTGTCCTGCAGATAGGACCGTTTTTAAAAAAAGAAACCAGTCAGCATCTTTAGAGCTCAGCCATTTAATGAAGACAGGCGAGTCTAGGCTGCATGGAAGGAATAATTAGGATTGTATTGTGAAGGGACTTTTTCTGAGTGTTTAAAATGTTGAAGCTTAGTGTATAGAGAGTATAAACAGAAATCTTGACACCCTGTCCATCAAATTGCTGAGTGGTGTAAGTTGGTATTAAAAGCACATACAGTTTTTAAGCCTTGTTTAATTATTCTTTGATCAGATATGGATCTAAATCAGAACCTTATGCTAACACTGAATAATTTAAGGGTTTAAGTTTCACACTTATGCTTTAGCCTTATTCACACATGCACAAAACTCCTCAACATTTCCCCCAAAAAACTTTTGGTGTAAGCTACATGTGAACACGAAAGCAGAATCTGTCATCCTGACTTTGCCCAGACTTTCCTTGCCAGCTCCCAAGTAAATATTTCCACAAGTGGTCAGGGAGAGCCAATGTTTGAACACAACAGGAAATATTCAGGAAAAATTCCCGGCAAACAAATGGGAAGGTGTGATGAGGTTTATATTCTGTGACCAGCACACTACTGATACAATCTTTGTTCACCTAATGACACATATTCATTCCTACATCAAAGGGTCGTACTCTGTTGTCTGTCCGCCATCATTGTGCGTCGATTTTATGTCATGGCTTGCCCCCCCGAGACCCCCTCCATAACGTTCAACAAGCCTAGCCTCCTGGTGAGCAATGTGAGCAAGCAACTCAGGAAGATTTCAGGGTCAGGCTGTCTGAAAATTTCTTGAACTTTTCAGGAGTGCATGTGCGAAAATGTATATCAAGCTAAGGTACAGTGCCAGAAAAAACTATTGATTCCAATGTTGAAACTTTCAAACCAGGGCCTAATGTAATATGTGTGTGTGTGTGTGTGTGTGTGTGTGTGTGTGTGTGTAAATCGTTACAGGATATAATAAATCTATACAAAATTTGCCTCAAAGACATGAATCATCTCAAACTGTACCACTATGTTATACAATAACAGAAAAAAACACTAAATTATAATTTGACAAAGTACTAAAAACTGTAAATACATCAAAACACACCAAACTAATCTCTCATTTATCGCCGGTCTACCTGTTTGCATGAAGTCTTGCAGGTGTTCCTGTTTTTTTGTCCTGTTCGTTCACAGTTGGGTCAAAGGTGAAAGACCTGGTTTAAAAAGAAATCCTGACTGAACAGTTTTATGAAGTTGTGCTTCAGAAAATATCGAGTCAAACAAGCAAATGATGGCTTCCTCTTGCAGGAAGGATGTGAAGTTGTGACTGTTGTATCTCAACGGCTATAAATGGGTCAGAGAAGAAAATTCTCTTTGAATGAACGGCTCATCTGTGCAGCTCTCCAGTATTCAGTGTGGGGTTGAGAGGTCAGTGTCCAAATGCAGCTTTTAGTTTGAATCAGTTTGATGTTATAACTCACTGAACTGGGTTTGACAGAAAGTGATCTAAGATGAGAGATGAGATGAGATTCAACTTTATTGTCATTACACATATACAAGTATAGAGTAACGAAATGAGGTTTGGCATCTCACCAGAAGTGCAAATAAGCAGAAAGTGCAATAGTCTGTGCTATGTACAGTAATTGAGTGCAATTATTGTACATAGCCGCCTCACAATGGTGCCACTGATTGACGCTGCTCACATTTCCTCTCTGTCTTTCTCTGTGCATCTGACTTTGAAAAGGTGTGACATCCTGTGCTTCGGTATCTACTCGGGACTCACAGTGAGGTTGCATCTCCAGCCCTCTGCAGACATCTAATCTGAAGAGCGTCATTGATTTTCTTCCTGCTCGTCCTGCTGACCCGATTGCAAAACAATCAAGTTACTTCCTCCCTTATCGAAATGATGCCTAAAACACCTTTCATTAAGTCTTTTTTTTCTGGGGAGGTTGTCTGCACACTTCTGTCATCACCTCTTGATGAAATATCGACACGTGTTATCTGCAACAATCTCTACTCCCCTTTTGTGTGCCTGTCAACCTGCCTGATTGTGTGGCCTGCTTTATGAGCAAATCACACAGGAAGAGCTCTGCAGATGCACCATGACCCAATGATCTCTGCTTCGGATGCCTAGAAAGACATTTTCTTCTAAACACATTACTACTTTTTCTTGTAACTTTTTTCTTTCTTTCTTTCTGGCACTGTAGTGTCTGGACTGTATTTAAGCCTTAAGTAGACATTCATAGTCTTTATGGTATCAGCAACACAGTGAAGGAAACAATGAAACCTGCTACCATGACTCACTCAGTAACGAGAGGTGCTGTTTATTCTTCACAGGGAGCAGCTCTTCCTGTTAATAACAAAGCACTTAGGCGCTGCAGTCAGGAGTCTCTTTGCAACTATAAATATGGGAGCTGTCATTGTTATGATTATTTCAAGCCCTCTGCAGTGACCCGCCATTGTCTCCTGACAGCGTTGTGTTGCTCTGCATCAGACAATAGAGACTGCCGTGGCCGAGCAGGGTTTGTGGTGGAGCTCCACAATTCATCAGCCTTTTAAAATGAAAAGGTCAGGAACGGTTAAATTTGGATCCCAGGTTACGAGAAGTTGGACAGGGCAGGACTGTGACCGCACTGTGCGGGTTTATCGCGTCATTTGCAGTTTTGAACTCCAGCTATTGTTTGTGGCTCACGTGCTTTTTGTCTTCTAGTGAGTCGACCCTCCTTTAGGCAGGGTCGCAGTCTGCACTCCTCTCCCTTTGCCATCCTTCCTTGTAGACAATAATAGATCAATAGCAGACAAGACTTCAGACCACGCCTTAAGGTGTCCCTCTGAAATCAGTTACTTTAAAATGTCTTTTGCATAAAATAAGATGCTCATAATTCTGTAAAAGTAAAAAAAAAAAAAAAACATGATAAGTTGTTTCATCTTTTTGTTTGTAATATAGTTTTGAAGTCTTGAAACTCAGCTCATCTTTCCTTATAGCAGCACTAATCTAACAGACTTTGCTTTGGTTGCTCACACTAAAACGGTCACAATAGCTGCTGCAAATTTTCATGCAACAATAAACAAACCGTTAGCATGGTGTAAAAAAACAACATAAAGCCTTCCTCTTTTGTAGAAACGACATTTGTAGATGTGCTTGTGACTCACTCTAGATGATACAGAAACTGAATGTCTCACCTCCCCAAACTGTAGCGCCTTTTACTTCTTCTCACCATGAATCTCTACACTTTTGCATAATGTGTTTTTCTTTAAACGAGTCTGGTTGGTCAAAGTGACTGAACAAGTAGGATGCAGATAAACTCCAACAATGAAGCCCCTGTGAGGTGGGCTCTGGATCTATGGCATATACTGCTTTTGTCTTTGTTTAAAAAGAGGAGAGCAGTGACAGACTTTTGAAGTGCTGAGCTGCAGGATATGACTTATTGTGGTGACACAGTCATTATTTGTATCTACAAGTAGGAAAAGAAAGAAGGATGAGTAAGACTGAATGCTTAATCTCTGTTTCTTTCCACTTGGATTTTTTCAATACTCATAACACCATTTGCATCACTGGAAATGTTACACATTATAAAGACGTTCAGGAAGAATTTGTTCATGTTGGTGGACTGAAAGTGTGGGATTTTTAGGTGTTTAAAACCATGCTCATGAGGTTTCCTGTCCTGTTTTCACTCAGTCACATACAGTTCCTGTTATTGTCATTACCAACACATTTTAAAGCAATGTTTTTAAAATGTGTTTATGTGTTTTTTTAGGCAGCCATGAGCCTCCATTTATTCTAATGTGGGTTGGAAATCACTGTCAGCTTAGAAGTCGACTCTAAAGTTATT